CGAAGCATGGCGGTTTAGGGTTTAGGGTTTAGGGTTTAGGGGTTTAGGGTTTAGGGTTTAAGGTTTAGGGTTTGGGGTTTAGGGTTTAGGGTTTAGGGTTCAGGGTTTAGGCGCTACGGGGCATAAGGTTCCTTTAAAGGGATCCTTAAAAAAGATATTTTAAGGGCTACTATAAGGGTTTGGGGTTTAGGGGCGTTCATACTAGGGTTTTTGGGGCCCATGATACTATAATTACATCTGATAAGCCAAAATAGTATTGGTTATTTTGGCCCCTACATTACAGGGCAAGGTTGGGAGTGGGGAGTGGTGCCTGGGAGACAGAACTGTCACACGAAGAAGAAGAACGGTTTAGGGTTTGGGGTTTAGGGTTTCGGGTTTAGGGTTTCGGGTTTAGGATTTTCTGGTTTAGGGTTTAGGGTCTTTTGCAAGTAGTTTTCAGCGAGAGGCTTTGGCAGGTGGGCTTCGTTTCTCGGGTCATTCGTTTTGTGCGTGCACTGGTTGTCGGAATGGGGAGCGGCAATTGTGAGTGTTTGGTGTACGATGGCCGGAGCTCGCCAATACGGCCGATTCGTTTTGTTAGGGAGGGGCACAAGACACACTTGCAGCAAGACATCCTATCATCCCAGACCCTAACTCTAAACACCAAATCCGTAGACTCTAACCGATCCTAACTTCCACCTCGGGGCCAGATCCATCCAATACCCTACACTCCAAATCTCAAAGGCCTGACCCTTAAACTCTGTACCCCCACGCCTTCCAAGCCCCATACCCCAGACCACTAAAACCTAAGCCAGAGAGCCCTAGGAACGTTGGCTTCATGAAGCAGCTCAGAGACTTCGAGGCCTCTTGGTGTCTGTTAGAGGGGGGGGGAAGCTGCGGCGCGCGAGATGGGTACGGTTTAAGGGAAGGGTACGGTCGAATGGATGAAAACAAGCCCTACTGTTCCTCAGAGCTCCGGTTGTAATTAAAGTGTAATGAACGGTTTAGGATTTAGGGTCGAGGCTACCCCAGGCCCTTTCCTAATTCTTGAGCTCGCTAGATGAAGAGTTGGCTAGAGTGGGGGTCGTTCGAGTTCGCGTGCCGGTTATGAAAAGAAGCAGAAGCCGTGTAGTCTGCGGAATTCACGCCTAGGGTTGCATGCGTTTTCGGGTACTATAGGGGGCTAAATAATTACCTATATTATATGAGGGGTTCCTTGTCAAATTATAGTATAGTATACCCCAAAAGCCTATTCTTTCGCCCGCATCACCCCAAAACCCTATTCTAACTTTTAAGGCCCCTGTATTAAGGTTCCGGCTTCGGAAATCAGGGCGTTTTGGGTTGAGAGGCTTCAACTTTGATGTCGGGTCTGGAGTTTGGGTTCAAAATTCCCAGAGCCTCCACAACCCCTTGATTAAGGAATATATACCTTTATAAATGATAATGGGAACCCTAAACCCTAAACCCTAAACCCCAAACCCTAAACCCTAATAAGATTTAAGGTATATATTCCTTACTTAAGGGATGTTGGAGTCTCTGGGTTCTGCGTCCCGCAACTTACTCGCCAGGCCGTTTGGACATGTACATGTTCCCCATACGTGTGATGATACTTCCAGCGTTACCCATGTTTAGGGTTTTAGGGTTTTAGGGTTTAGGGTTTAAGGTTTCGGATTTAGGGTTTTAGGTTTTAGGTTTAGGGGTGATGATATACATCCTGCATTACCCATAAACAACGAATATGCCGTAATTCTCATAGTTTAGGGTCCTTAAGGTAATGCAAGATTTAATTCGTCGACGGTATCATAAACCCTGGGCCCGTTTCTGCGCAGGGTTTGCTTGTTTTTCCCACTTGATACCTGCACTTCTCAAGACACCTAGCTATACGCACGCTAGAGCCGACATTGCAAACCTAAATACTACCACCGAACCCCTGAAGCTATGATGCCCCCTAAACGCCTTGAGACCAAGCCCATGCAGCCCAGCCCTGGAGCCTTACATTTCTTACTCCCACCAAAGACCTAAAGCCACTGTGGGAGAGATGGCTTTGGGTTTAGGCTTCAGGGCTCTTACATCTAGGGATCAGGCTTTATAGGATTTAGGGTTTGCGGGGGGTTTGGGAAGCCCCAAAGCCTAAGCAATAAAGGTGGATCCTCGCAGCACCCTGCTTGAATTAAAACCCTAAACCCTAAACCCTAAGCCGTTCCTGAGGTGGAGCTGCTCGGCGAAGATTCCGCCGTCTCCTTGCCGCTGTCGCCGGAGGCCATGGAGAGCTACAGGGGTTGAGGGTTTAGGTTTTAGGGTTTAAGGTTGAAGCAGGTTTAGGGTTTTGGGTTTAGGGTTTTGGGTTTAAGGTTGAAGCGTTTAGGGTTGAGGCAACTATCGCGCGACGACTTCTTTCACGCTCTCTGAAATTTCTACTTCGATGACTTCGTTTGGCCGTACCAAACGAGCTTAGACCTACCTGAAGAAAGTTCTGAGACATTCATTAAGGAATAGCATTCAGCTTATCGTAGAAAGCTTAGTTTATTCAAGTTACGGTGCCTTCCATAATTATGTGAGTTTGGAGTGTCTATGGGACCTGCCCTTAAACGCCATGGAACACCAAACCCATCCTTATCCCCAAGCCCCAAGCCCTAAAGCCCAAACACAAATCTCCACAATCTGAGCCATCCTAACCCCAAGCCCTAAACCATAACCTCATGCATATAGCACCCTTATATAGAAACCTAAACCCACAGTGGAGACGTGCAGGACTGCCGCGACTTGCTGGACATGGAGCTGTACCCTGTCAGCAAGAGGGACCGCCGAGGAACGGTATAGGGTTTAGGGTTTAGGGTTTGGGGTTTAGGGTTTAGGGTTTAGGGACGGTTCAGGGTTAAGGGAGTGCGGGTTGGTTAGGGTTTAGCGTTTAGGGTTCAGGGTCAAGTCAAGGGAGTGGGGGTTAGTGCTATGCAGCCTCCTAATCCCTAAACCCTCAGCCCTTCTTCGGAGCAGCTTCCCTTGTCCTGAGCTGTCAGGTCTTGGGAATTTCAAGTCTCCTTGTGGGTTTAGGGGTTTCGGGTCCTAGTCCTTTCCCCCTAATCTTAACACGGGGTTTAGGGTTTAGGGTTTAGGGTCCCCCAATAGATACTCGGAAAGTGTTTTTTTTTATTGGGCGGCATTTTTTCTCTACTGCCACTTTTGAGGGGGCGTGCTGTTGCTCCTGCTCTGGCTCTTGCTCCCGCGCTGACTTTTGCTCCTGCTGCTGCTGCCTCTTGCCCCTGCCCCTGCTCTTGCCGTTGCTCCCGCTGTTGCTCCTGCTCTTGCTCTTACTCCCGCTCTTGCTTTTGCTTTGCTCTCTTGCTGCTGCTCTTGCTGATGCACCCGCTTTTGCTCTTGCTCCTGCTCTTGCTCTTACTGTGCTCTACAAGGTAGTTGGAACTTCGAAACCTTTTAAATTGCAGGGATGATT